AGCACTAGGTCCATAAACTCATCTTCTGAGTTCATGTCGATGGGTTCGGGTGGAGGTAATTGTTTCTCAGCTTCGGCTGCTAAGATGACTTCCTCCTGGATGGTTGTAAGAGGTCGGCGAGGCCTCGCACGTTTCGCAGCGCGCGGGGCAGTTCGAGCGGGGGATACGAGTATCGCAGGGTTTTTACGCCTCCTGTGGGGCATCTTATCGTCCTGTAGCGATCAAGGGTCTGGAAATAGATTTAGGAGATATACAAAAATGGCTGAGTTCAGCTGGAAGATGTGATGGTGTGACTTTTTTGTCGACTTATTGGCGTGTGGATAAGACTAAGAGCGATACATTTGCGGGTGTATGAGGAAAAGGGAATGAAAAATGCTGAAAGTTTGCAAATTAACTCTCAATCAATACAAGTAAACTTAGCGTGTGCAAATCAGTGATAATCCAAGCGCGCGCACAATACTGGTGATTCGACACAAAATGCATCTATGTGTTGAATCATAATAAATTCAGCAGCCCAGAATTCAAAACAAAACAAAACAAAACAAAACCTTCCACGCAAAATCTTGCATACAAAAGAAAAAATTATACAATCTCCCCTCCGTCATTCCGCCTCAGCCACCACGCGCCTGAGCCTCGATTCCAATTCCCTCTTTCCATGCCAAACCACCTAAGCTTTCGATATATCACGTCCGAGTCACAGGTATCCCTGCCATCCCCCGACTAGGCTCCGTGTATATTCCGCTCTACTGGACGTAGTCCCTGAACAGCTGCCATCCCCTTGGTCCGAGTATTGTTTCCAGAGCCGGCGCCCTACGCTTTCCGCTTTTCAGCCGCCATATTTCCAGTGCTTTTCGACACTGGACAAGGTGACCAATTGATTTTTCCCTCCCAAACTCGCATATAAGTGTAGCGTCCGTGTGGTTGTAGCGGCGATGATATGCCGCAAAGTCCCCATATCTAGTTCGAGCAGCGATTAAGCGGGAGTAGACCGCTCTAGGTAGCGCTAGCTCTGGCGGTTTTTTGCGGCGCATCTCGAGTTCAAGATCGGTGTAATGTTCGGGGTAGTTCGAGTGCCACCAGTCCGTCAACATCTGCCTGGCCAGTTCACGGGCTTTCCATCCAGATGAGGCGAGGGTCATCACATCATGTGTCGTCCTAGAGTTGTCCGGCGAGTTAAGTTCTCTTCGAGCGAGTTCGTCGGCGATTTCATTTCCTGCTAGCCCTTCGTGGCCCAGGATCCATCCTATTTTTAGAGGTGCGGCTGATCCCGCGGCCAGTTTCACGAACTTTTGGATACGCCAGGATGATGAGCCTGTTGTTCCCGTCAGTAAAGCCTGAACAGCTGCAGAATTTTCGAGCAGGAGATAGATGGCACTGCAGCATCGGTCTCGCTTGCTGGCAGTGATTGCTTCTAGGGCTGCCAAAACTCCATGAACCTCTGCATTCGTTATTTTGCCTGAGCCACTTTGCTCGATTGTCGTGCCTGTGCCACTGATAAAGATTATAATGGCCCATGACACTCTGTCGGTTGAAGCCCCAGAACCATCACTGTAAACGCAGAGACAGTCGGGTGGAGGAACCCCTTCTGGCGCGCCGAAGCGCAAATTCCTCCAGAGTGAGGTTTCTGGGCGCGCGTTGTGTACCTAGTAAATGGTGGGTGTGTGTGTATGAATGAAATGCTATCACGCGGTGTCTCGTGGCTCCTAAATACAAAGGATCTTGTGTAGAGCTTGAGACTAATACGTGAATTCTATATATCCCTAAATGTAGGATATCTATACGCCTATATACATCAATACTCTGTTACCCCTCAGCTCCAGTGAGATCTGTTAACATTTCTATCTTGATGTCGAGCCGTACAAACATACCGTATAATAGTAACTCATATTGATACTCGGGATTGCGATGGATAGCAGAGATTGATGGTGTTTATGGCAGTGCGGGGTCTGGTAATTAGTGACAGGGATGTGACACGTGTATATTTATCGCGTACTTGACTGCTCTTTAACATGATGATGCTTCCGAGTACGTTCACAATGCCCATACCTACTGTGGGCTAATCACCCCTTACTATATCGGTCCTATCTTCTAATTAATGCCCTTTTCCTCTTTTATCCTAAATGACAGGTCATGATATTCTTCGTCTTGCTGGCCATCATCAAGCTCAGAGTTATGGACAGATTAAATCTTTAACAAGATCTGCTCTTGTGACTGTGCAATCTGGTCGTGTGAGATCATAAGGCACTAGCATTTTGTCATGTGCCGTACATCTAAAATCTGACCAACCCGTGACAATGTAGATCTTTTCAGGATCCACATCAGCCTCGGCCACCACTGAGGTTTCTGGTACACGTCAGTAAGAATAAAATGATAAATGCTGACTGTGAGATTCACGGATGTCTCGTGGCTCCGACTACGACAATCTATATATGTGTAGAGCTCGAGACTAGGTGTAAACTTGTATTTCTATTAACGTTCTAACTCCTCCTTAAATACATGAAATCCTCTATACTCCAGATGATGTAAAGATCCATGATACATGACAAGTAAACTATCAGAATACGGTAGGGGAGAAGTGAGGTGTTTAGCCGCCCGGGTTGTGACCAAAGAATGCGAGGGGTGCATTCTTGATGGAACCTCAACTCGACGGCTCGCTTGCCGTGAGACTTGGCGTTTCGCTCGGACTTGGAATTCAGGATCCACACCACGCACCCGAGCCCTCGACACCTTCACGATCTGTAATTTTTCCCTTCCATTCAGTCCCAGCTTTGGCTCATATCATCCAGGGATCGTTTTCTACACTGGAGGCCTCATCCAGACGCCCACCAAGGCCTTCCAGTTTTTATTCCCCTTTGGTTCCTTCATGTAGCCGTTGGTGGTGGTTGTGGTGAGGTTCCTGATGGATTAGTATGTGTGAAAAGTGAGATAAGCTCAGCTTTAAGATGGTGTAGGTTACGGATGTCTCGTGGCTCCAATCTACCAATATGTATAGTAGAGCTTAAGACTAGATGTAACTTTGTTTTCTATTAATACAGGGTATCGTCTATATAAGTATAGCATTCCTTATCTTGCGCCCGGACTCCAACGTGAACAACATTACATAAGCATTACAATTTATGAGAGCCTCGTACTAATTTAGAGGTCTGTCAATCTTGGATCCTCAGTGACGCCGTGAAAAAATTTTCAGCCGAGAACCACACATTTATGACTCTCCAACTCGCCTTGCCGAAGCGCAACGATAAAAAATTCGGGAATCAGATAAGAAGAACTGATTAAGATGGTAACAATTATAAAAACGATGAAATAACGTACATGGAACATGGTGCCGCTTTTGACCAAATGATGATTTTTTCTCGCCTTTGATGTATTATTCTCTTGTTTAACACCTTACGCATTAGCCGTCAAAAATGATGATGCCTCGACACAACTGCATAACCAACGGAGTTCTATTGACGCCAATATTAACAAGGATGAGACCGACCTCATCAGACTCCAACCTTTCTTTAATGCTATCTCAGAAAAGAAAAATGAGATAGAAATTCTCAAGATTGCACTAGACTTCGCTCGAAACCCACCATACAGGACCGGTCTCATACAAAGAAGCAGTCGACCCACTTCAACTCCTTCTCTCAGTAAGGAAACCATTCAGCGGGGTAATGATGAGTTATTAAGCTATAACACCATAGCTCCAATTGTCGAACGAGCCCTGCAGAATGAACTTAATAGCAAAGTAATCACTGGGTTCAACAACTTCTGGGAAATGTTTTTAATAAATAAAGATCGGTCCGATCAAAATCCCCGCATATGGGAGTGTTATCAGAGTTATGAGACTAACGAGATCGAGAATCGGGAAAAATATAGTAGTGGAACACAATTAAAAGCTCAGACAACAAATTTATTTATAGAGAGCGATCCTAGAGAAACTTTGAAGTTAACCCACAAACAAAAAAACCCTAGAATATTCACGGATCTAGAAACATCAGGAGGAGTATAGAGACAAGAAATTACCAATGAAGAGCCTGTTCCCGAATTGCCAGAGGTTGATAAAGTAATAACGACGATTTCCTATAAAAATAAAATTTTAATTGAAAACATGACAGAGAAAGAGATTTGGGACTGGCTCGATTTTTTTCGGGATAACTTTTTAAATCAGCCCATAAATCGTATCTCAAATTCCCCTAGAAAGTTTCAACACCTTGATATAGAGGATAATGGCCCCCAGATTGGAAACAAGTACTGTCATACAACAACAAATTATCAGATAAAAGGAACAACCAACAATTTTCAGGTTGACTTCCTCGTTAAGAGTATTGATGTGGTCAATAATTAAATACACCATTGGAAGGATGTCAGAGTGCTTGGGGAGTTTACGATAAAGCCCTTCAAAGATAAGAAGAGGAATAAATTTCTTCAATTATCAAGATCAGTTCTGCAAATATTTTCTACACAGCCACTATGTCAGTTTGTACATGGATTCTGCCTTTTTAAAAACGACTTTGAACTTTAGCTGTTCAATCGCTCCGGTGCGTATAGTTCTGGCCGATTGTCTATTAAAGATAATAAAGCCAAGCTGGTAAGGGCGATATCATCATACCTGTTCATGAGTGATGAAGAACTGGGTATCTACTCTCCTTTCCAATATGTCAATAGAAGGTCTTTCCTATCGTTTAGCAATGACGAAAATGATCAAGCTCAGGGCTATGAAATTAATCCTAATCATATCTTAAAGGCGGGGAAACTAGTCTTACGTGGCACTGTTTGCTACGAAATGGGAGAAGAGAGTGCAGTTGTGAAGTACTCGTGGACCAGGACTGCAGGTAAATCAGAAATGAACTTTATGCAAGACGTCTGTGATACCGAAGGTGTTGTCAATTATCTCCGAGCAGATAGAATTTGCAAGACGAGTGGTCATCTACGGGCTCAATTTCAGTAGTGCGGCTTATTAGGATATAAGGGGCCTAGATCCTATTACCACGGGGGAAGGTGAAAAGCAACCAACTATGTCCCCACGCATTAAAGATCGAGAGCTGATCAGACTAATTGTCACACCATGTGGTTGTAGACTGAATAGCAGCAGGACGATGCTGGAATACCTAGAAGGGATAAGAGACAACATCATGGCATACCAACGTTTATTTGTCGAAAAGAAAGTATTCCATGGCGAAATCTCTGACGGCAACATAACTTTGGCTTTCGTTGGTGGCAGGTATCGAGGATTACTGATCGACTTTGACCACGCCGTAAAGGTCGAAGATACTTCGGACAAGCATGAGAACTTGTACTTGACTGGCACCTTGAAATTCATGGCGTTCGAAAGGCTTGAATATGCTGCAAAAACTGGAAAATCCATAAAGGTTATGATATGAGACAACTAGGTAGTCGAGGCTAGGGCATCGCGTGTGGCTCAAGGCCACAGCAGACATCACTAGTGAACTGGTTAGGCGAGCATGTAAATAGTTTCATAGATGTACCCACAATAAATGGACACAGGTTTAGTCTGATACTTTCTGTCCATACACCTACAGCATAATATTGTATGAGTCTATTCACTGTCAATCACTAAATATAACATCAACCACTCCTCATCACTCCGCAATGTGACTTCCGCATAGCTCATAACCACAACAATAACCCGAACGTATTTTCATGACTTGGAGTCTTTTTTTTATGAATTTCTCACTGGCTGCATAGAATATGAACGCCGCGAGGAATCGAAAATAGTGGTCAATCTACAAAGGTGGTGTGTAGAAGATGTCAGTTCTAACTTTATTAATAAGCGTAGTGATACGATTTTCTTCGAAAATGAAATCGTTCCTAAATTCTCAACCAATTTCGGCGACTTAAAGGAACTTGCGTGAAGTTACGCAAAATCTTGTTCTGAGATGGCCGAGTCAGCTTTGGAACACCTATCGAATACGAGCCTATGAACAGAGATATGGTTGGGGCTTTCGACGAAGTTATTGCGCAGATTTGAGGAAAGATATCTCAATGACTTTCACATAATTGCCGTTCCCTTTGACTACAGGCCGCTGATAAATGTCCATTTAAGTGGAATAATATTGAATAAAAAGTCAGATTAAAATAAATATTTATTTGCAGGTTTTCTGGACTGGAAAAGATAGCACAACCTTACCTAGTAGTCAGAAGTAAGAGACTGGGGTATGTAAGTAGACACGTGTTTTGGATTCATACTTAAAAGGGATGATCTCAGTTACAAATATTTTGATGAGAAATGTGTTGTAATTTTCTGGTTCACATTTCCTTGGAATGACAGTAGGCGGGTATTAGACAACAAGAGAACGTGTTTAAAAGCTATTCATATTTTTATCTTACCAGCAGAGAGTGTCTTTATTTAATGATGGATAAGTTCTTGTTTTAGTCCTATTCTGCATCTAATTTCAGCACTATGAAGAAGAGAAAAAGATTTCCAGTCACAGAATCAATTGTTTTCTAGCGCAACGCAAACCAGCTTCATCCGTAGAGTATTCTTTTGTTTCATTGATTCTATCTCTCCACAGTTCAAACTCCTCTAACGGTATGGAATCTTATCACCAATCTTTCCGTTCTGGTTTCTAACTGAGACTCCCAAAATCACGGGTATTCCTGAATGGCGTACTGCTATAGAGCCTACAACCACCTTTCATGGTCGCTCTGGTTACGTCTTCGTTACATCAGATTTCTTGCTAGCAACGAGAGTGAAATCCTGGCTAAAAGTAATCGTATCTAACGAACGAGTAGGTAAACATGGGATAACCTACCTTTGTATCACCGCTGCACCTTTTGAAAGCTCGAAGAGGACATGATGAATACTCCACTTGTAGGCCTAAATCGACCGCAACGCCGTTTCTGCCCTTGATGATGTTTCTTGCCGCTATTGGCACAAGACAACACTATTCAGGGCATTCCCACATCTAGTGAGCACCAGGGACCTAATGACATCGAGCTGCCATATCACGTGACGAATGCATGCATCTCCATTGCCAGCAACTGAAACACTACTTTAGATGTGATTTGGTAGGCCACGCCCGTGCTGAGTGTGGCATGGTATTCAGGAATGGAATAGGATTGAAGTCCCAAATGCGTCATTGACCACGAAGAACAGCGAAAGCCTTCTTATCAGCGTTAAGTAAATAAAACTAGATATATAAACTTCGACCCTAAGCTCCAATGGGGCTCCCATGTAAAGCTTATCCAACAAAAGTCACACAACCAAGTACAGTGTTAGAGTATAGAGAAGACTTCGGAGTAAGAATTGCCTGAGAACGGAGAAGATGTTCAGTTTGCTTAATTGACTAATATACTACAGGCATTATGATACATACAGTGGAATTACTAGAAAGAGGTTATCCGGAACCGACTCGACTGCAGAAATAAGTGGGACCCAGACCAGAAAATAATTATCCACTGACTGAGAATACTGGGTCACGCAATAGAAGTACGAACAAACCAATGACTGGATTTGTTCGGGAAGAATGGGATTCAAGCAGACTCTAACGTTGAGTCTGATTGGATCAAAAGTGTGGGATCCTGCCTGAACTCAGAAATATAGTTCAGGCAAGATGCATACAACCACATTGGTCGATAGAAAGAAAAGCAAGAAACTGTATTTCCAACATACAGTCAACAAGTAAATTGACGCAGTCAACTTGGAGTGCAACATTCAAGAAGTCAAAGCTTTTGTACAGCACGATAACGAGGCCAGCCCTGACTTATGGGTGTTCTACATGGGCTGCAGCTGGGCCAGCGGGTAAAATACCAGAAAGGATAGTCAAACCACTGCGAAGTATCCAACGAAAATGCTTGAAGCTTATCACAGGGGCATTTAACTCTACCAGTAGTAGGGTACTAAAACACGAGTCTTCGGTTCTCCCGACAGATATCTACCTGAAGAAAAGGAGCGTCCAATATGTCGGGCTATCAGAAGGACTACCTGTCAGAAGGTCGATACTATCTGCGTGCAGCAAAGTCAAGCAGACCACAAGGGGAACCGAGAACAGGCACGCCAAGAATCGAAAGCAAGACATTGAAGAATGGACCAGAATTTGTGGCATGGAGAAGGCGAAAGGGAGAAAAAAAGAAGCCGGTAAGGTGGCCGCGTTCCTGGAGTGGAAAAACTCACGGACACGTCCAGAGAACGAGAAATTATTTAGTCATCAAGCTTCGGCAGACCTTGAAGATTTGAAAGCCGCAAATATTGTCACAGATAAGTCAACAGGCATAAAAAGAATCACCTATAGAAACACATTCTCAATTATCCACCGGAACCTTAGCAGGGCCCAAAGCAGTATCGCAGTCCAGATACAAAGTGATCACATTTGTCTCAACTCTTATCTGTATCGAAAGAAAGTCCCCGGAGTGATTAATCCAAAATGTTAGTGTGGATATCCGTCTCAAAATATCAAACATATGGTTTTGGCATTTCCGTAGTGGGCAAGAGGACGAGGGGAGGTGCTTCGAAAGTTAAAAGATAGGTCATTTGCGGCAATAATGAACAGCCCAGGTGATATGGAGATAATCACAAAATGGATCCTGGCAAAAGGCTGGCTTGAACAATTCCGGCTTGCAGGAGAAGTAGAAATAGCATTGGACGAAGAGATAAGGCGACGTGGACAAGGATAGGACGGAAATCACACTATAAGATAAGATGAGAATTTTTATTATAGTCCCTTCTGAGTCTAAGACTATTGTCGGAATACTTCAAGTGGACGGGTTTCGTGACAAGCTTGTTGTAACAATATTGGTATCAATTAATTACTGTCTAACTCCCTCCCTCCTAAGTAACAACTAATAAATACATTGGGGAGCCAATTTCTTATTCCCAGCGCTATTCTATATAAGGAAATGTTACGAAAACGAGTCACGTGATATAATGCAGAACTTTAATCAGACAACTATGAAGGACTTCTAGAATCTACCAACTAAATTCTGGCCACTATTTCAATGTTAAAATGAAGTTATGAATTCACACTGTATAAACAGTGTAAACGCACTTCCTGTAGGAAACCTAAGAAAATCAATAGACATGAGACAGATATTTTTGGAGGGTTTTTACCAAAATTGTTTCCTGTGTAAATTATACAGCTAGATATACCTGAACTGGCTGAATGAAATCAAATCAGATACAATTTTGCCACCTTCTCATTTGATCTGTAAACTCCAATCCTAATCCCTCCAAAGTGATGTAGCAAGAGTCTAATAACTCTTATTGCACTTCCAAATAACTTTGTCATCTTTCAGCGACGTCCGTCGTTTCCATATGTTAGGACCATGAGGGACGTCTCATCGAACATTGTGCCGACCGGCACCAAACAGGGAGTTTCTACCTATCTTCAACGTCTTCTGGTCTATATCTGATTGATGAGGGAGTCAAGGAAATTTGTGGAAAAAATACGAGTAAATATTCCAAAGAAAATTTATCAGAATTGAGCTAAGTTGTGTCAACGAGGCGGGATACTAGGTATTGTTTAAAGCTTTTTTTCCTACATGACAGTGGCAGCCCATCATACCTATCGCTGCGCTTCACAGGGAAGGAGGCATTCCACCAGCTCGGATCCTCTTAGAATGCAACCGCCTAAGACTTTCTGCAAGCTTGCAGTCCCTCGATGATCGTCATCCCTTTCGTATTCGTGCAAAGATGTGCCCCAATGAGGGAACAATTAAATATAAGAGGCAGAAAAAGCTATCTTCGCGAGCCGATACCCAGATGTCCCGCGTCCAACGGGCTTACTGCCAACTACCTCAAGCGGAGGATGCTGAACCACTTCCTAGGCCAGCAAATTGGAGAAATCCTGGATCAAAGTTGGAAGGAGTGGAGGATAATCAAAAATTTATCAGGACGATCCCTCCATCTGAAATTTGTGCTTATTCAGATGGGTCCTCAGAAAGTCACGGCCGATCAGCATGGGGCTATGTGCTTCAAAGAGGAGAAATTATCTTCTAAAAAGAACGGGGACCTCTGCACGGATACGAAACTTTCGACGCAGAGATTGTCGCGGCAATAGGCGCGCTGCGAGCCGCTATCATTGCGAGACAAGGGGATGAAAAGATAACCGTGCTACTCGACAACCAAGCAGCTGTTAGAGCATTGCAGACTGGAAATTCGTCCTCTACCTGCCGCTTAATTCGCATCTTTCATGATGCTGTGCAAAGATCCAACGCAGAAATCAGATGGGTCCCACGACACTCAAACATAGAGGGGAACGTGGAGGCAGACAAAGAAGCTCGGGCCGCACTAAAATTACTTCCGGACTGCCAGAAACAACCCAGCTATATCAGTCTTGCTTACCCTCGACGTCTTATGCAAAAGCGACGACAAGAATTGATAGACAAATGGTGGTCAACTGCTTGTCCAGCTCGATATCAAGACTTGGACCTGCAAATGCGACGACGTAAACCCCCAGAACTATCGTTGCCACGGAGATTACTACACGAACTCATTTCTGTGAGAACAGGGCATGGAGATTTTGCGGCGTATCACCGTCGCTTCAAGCACGAAGATGCAAATCTAGTTTGTAGCTGTGGGCTAGAAAAGACGCCCACCCACTTCACACGCTGTCAGAGATACAATATTCTGACGCGTAAACTTAGAAAAGACTTGAGCTTAGATGCTTTTACCAAGCAACTCCTCGGACATAAAGGGTTAGAGAAGTTTAAAAATTTTGCATGGGTTACAGGCTACTTCGGTAGGCTGGACGCATCCTAGTTCTGGGCTGATTGTAAGGACGGGTTTTAGGATGAATGCCAGGGCAAATACGCTGGCAGAGGAGAGCTCAGGATGAGGATTGCTGACTCAAAACAATTCTTTATTTCTTTTCTTTTTCTTCACTACATTGTTTATTTAACGAGCGCATGATTTATCAGCTCTAAAATGGGTGTGAACGAGTAGGGCAAGCCTGAAGGTTAAATCTCGGCCGGCTTCACTGGTCCTACATCTAAATAGATTGAAGGCTACGTCCTAGGACTTTAAACTAAAATATATAAATAAATAAGTAGTAGTCCATCCTCATACGCCTTTATAAGAGATCTGAATAGGATAGTAAATAAGATTATACTTTATGTCTCTCAATAACAAACTTTCGAGAGTAGCTGATCTATACCTAGCTTGACGGAAACTGAGTTGGTAATAAATAAATCGATTTATTCAACTATATGAAGATGTCAAGGGGAACTATTTCACCTACTCATGTAAACTAAGCTATTCAGGTCACATGACCTGACTATCAGTACATAGACTTCATCTGCAGCATTACGGCTATCAAGTCAACATTTACAACGTAATACCGTGGCCCACGTATCTTTCTTAAGATAAGAGAAAAGAAAACTTTAGCTACTACTAACAGGTATTTATAAGAGTTAATCATCCTCATAAATCTATGGACTAGTGACTTGTCCTTAGGCACAATACTTTATTCCCAGCTACGTGTTTCTAGGTGTCACTAAGTTGTAATAACGTTCAGCCTCCTGATTGTTAGTGCTGTTTCGTTAATCTCCATCTCCTCCCCATACAGTCTTATTGTGAGAATTCTCAACATTAAGCTTAGGTCTACTCCTAAGCTCAAACAACAGTCAAACTGTAACACTTAAGCTGATTCTGCTAACAGAAAGAGGGGGACAAGTGAGTTTGATTGGGATACTCATCTGAGACTGTTTACTGTGTAAGTACCAAAGCCTGATTTGGTTAGCTCTTAGGCAACACGTCCTATAATGCAGAACAATCAGACTCTAGACTGAGAGGACCTGAAGTTGATCTCTTTCATCTTTAAATTCACTCAGATAAGGATGGCGTCCCACTAACATGTGTACTGGCGGCATTTAATAAAACAATTCTATTCCGTCATTTAACAAACGCCAGAAACAATGCTAGATATCTCTGTATAACACTGGGATATTGGTACAATAAAAGCTAGACTAAATCTGGATTCATTGAGTAATAACTAGATTTATCTGGGCTGGCCCTCTATTTATTTTATAAATAGAACTTATAAAGTAGGCTGATATGTTGATCTTACTTACAAAAGCACAAATGATAAGTACACAGAATGCTTGATGTGATTTTTTCTTAACAATTTTTTCCCCAGTCCCATCCCACAGTCATAGGTGAAAAGAGCTACCTTTTTCGAAAAGAGTCTTCTGGCATTTTGATATAATGGCAGCTTGTCTGCTTACTTCTTCTAAGCGATCAATTACTTGTTTACTTCCATCGACAAAGCCGTAAAGGGCATAAGGAATCCCCACATCTGAACAATACTCTTGCACAAGCTTTTGAGTACGTCGAAGATTGTGCCTTGGCATTCGAGGGAATAAATGATGTATTACTTGAAATTGAAGACCACCATGTATGAAGTCAAGCCATTGGGGACAGTCGACATCCATTGTCGTGCGAAGCATTTTCTGTGGAAAAGATTCTTGAGGACCAAGCTCCGCGGTACTCATAGCAAAGTGGGACAGAGTTATCTGTGCATGTAATGGCATAGTCACCATATGACTGAGCATTAAGAAGGCAATTCGACTCGAAATGTTCGGGATAGACTTGTACAAAATTTCATATCCAAACCAGTACCAAAAGAATACTTGTCCCACAAGCTCGAGCCATCGATGCCACCAAGCAGGTCCTTTTTTGGGACCTAAGCCTCGAAGGAGAAATTCCCAAGACAAGAAGTAAAGATTGAACCGACCAAAGGTTAGAAGTGGATAGTATAAGTAGGCTTGATAAGGAATGACAAATTGTGCAAAAGCGTCATAACACATTATCCTCTCGTAAAAGGAAGACCTTAGAGATTGTAAGAATCTGTGAGAAATTGCGAAAAAAGGGAGGTGCTCAATATCTGGGTCATGTTCCGGTGAGTTGGTCACAATATGATGAACGTTATGATTTCGTTTCCACCATCCCAAAGACAGGCCTCCAATAAAATCTGCAATTAAAATTCCAATCACAGTGTCTAGCGTAAAGTTGTGAGTGATCCCCATATGGCCTGCGTCATGTACAGTGAAGACGAGTTGATGCCATAAAAGCCCGAGAAAAATCCCACTAATAGCGTACCATCCATTCTGTAGACATAATAACATGGCAGAAAGTAGGAGTCCATACCGACCAGCTTCAATGGCATAACTTCTATAATTACAATCGAATAAATGCTCTTCATGAAGTTTCTGTAGTAGTTCGCGGTACTTTCGAACAACTTCACACTGTGTAGCAGGATCTAAAGACGGATATTTGGCAAGATCTAAATCTATCATTTCTTTTGTGAGGTAATCCATGTGTGATATATCTTTCGGAGACTCAAGAAGGGAGCTTATTGATGAATGGGAGGAATTCGGTGATTGTTTACGTAGCCGGATATTTAGGTCATCGTCGTCAAACACAGACGAGGACTGTCCTGAGATATCAGAGCTACTAGAGCGACTAAAGTTGGATGGTGAATATTGTAACTCTTCGTCTGTATCTATAGTTTTATCATCATATTTTTTAAATATACCGCCTTGTATCGGAGGTATAAAGTTCTTCCAAGGACCTTCAATTCGTCCGATACAATAATTTTGCATTCTCTGTCTTGTTTGCGCCGAATGTAGCCTTCGATACAGGTTAAATCCCACTTTTTATCTTGATTGAGTGATTAAAAGTACATACGCATTGATTTCATCAGTGGCATCTCTGCCTACCATATGAAGAATGGATTTCTCCCCGCCAGGATGGAACTTCAACCAGGCATCAACCTTTAGTACTTTGCCTTCAAAGATAATAATAGTTTTTCCATCTGAGATTAATCCTTCAACATATCTCCGCGTGAAGGTGACATTCTTTTGGCCCCCTTTTGGCGCCGTTGACGTTCTGGAAAGCATTTGCTGGTGGTTATTTGTTGAATAAACATATCAATGTAGAGAAATGTAACCTACATTTTAAATAACGTTAGTATAGCTTTTAGCAAGGATTGTGGCGCTGTGACGTCGTCCCTGCAAGCGTGTGCGGGCCGCATGTAAATCGCGCTAGTGCTGTCCCCATTTTATTCTACTTTTACCTTTTGTGATTGATTACATAGATGGCTTTCCTTAAGTGTTTATCGTCCTAATGAGTCTGTAAATATGTAAAGACGTGTAGGTCCTTTCTGCCTACAGGCCGGGAGTATCTATGCCTCGGGTAGTGTACTTCCTCGTATGCCTCCTTCACGACTTCTTTCCAGCAGTAAAACCTCCACAGGTCTTCATTCGAGTACACACTAAGAAGAGCCGTTATCCCGCCATTATCTCCCCTCTCCAGCCAACGAAACGATGGCTATTTGCGGGTGTGTAGCTGCAGGGAAAAGTCTCAAAAACCACTGGGTACTGGGCTCTCCTATGAAGAAGAGGTCGGCCAGCCAGGCGCAGTAGACTTGTGTATACCTGAGAGCGTCTCTCAACTTTCCTAGCCTACTCCTTACTCCTTCCTTGATTCACATGGTAGGACAAACCGAAGGTCGTGAAAGGATGTCAGAAAAGTCTCTGTCGAGAGTGACTGTCGTGAAGGAGCCTAGCCTAGCATCCAAAAGTCGTCACGAACGTGGGGTCGTCGGGTAACCCATTTATTTCAGATGCCCTCCTGGCTAGTACGTTCGGAAGTGAAGATTAGTAGGGACGATATAGTAGACGATTCGAAATCTGCTTTTCTTGAGGGCGGAAGGGTCTCTTATATTGCTCTGGTGGGCTCTTTGTTCGCCCGGCGGTGGGTAGCACATGTTGTGATATGACGAGGGCTTCTCTGACTACTGCCAAGGGATGGAGTGGATTACGGTACCCTATGTTCGCATGCTATCACGCGTTTGATGCGCGATTCACGATGTATATATATTTATAAGACTCAATAGGAGTCACCTTTCCTCTTTGTATACAATCTCAATCACCAGATTAGACCTCGTCAATCTATTCCATAACCTTAACCCTGACAAATACTACTCTGATATTAAATCCCAGTCGATCTCTCAGGTAGACATAGAACAGCGAGGTGTTGTGGTGTGAAGTCACTCAGCCAGTTAGACAAGCTGTATTAGATGATATAGAGATCTATACAAGATGTGGTTGGTGTAGTGACATGATAACAGTTGCATGTGGATGGTGTGAACAAGAATGTAAACTATTCTATAGCATATGATAGAATATCTTACATCACAAGATGGAATATTCTACTAGCAATTAGATAGATGAGCTTTAGGTATAAATAGGAGTATTCTCCTTCATATAGATAGCAATCATCAGGAAACGAATCTAATAAAGCAAACACATATCATCGTCCACTTCATAATAGTGTCAAGCACATATTGATAAAGCCACTGTTTGTATGAAATTCCCCTCCTCATAATCGCAACATGTTAGAAATTTTCAAGGATTTCCAGGAGGAAATATCTCGAAGAACAAGTGTACAATTTCGGACAAGATTTTATTGATAGTTGTATATGATATCGAACTCTCTTCTTAATATGAATTAATAATATATAATACTCCGTTAGCTTAGCTTTGCATATACAGATGAGTCTATCCTTAAATACAGATTCCCGAGGCTTTAGTGATCCCGAACTCCCAGTGATCTAACAACAGCCAGCCACTCAGTTATCCACAAGATAGCATTTCCTAGCCACTGAACCTTATTTCGCCTAAATGAGCTTAATCATATTCAATCGAATCAACTCAATTGATCTTGATGATCATACTTAGAAATCTAAACCTTCATATATGCTAAGTCTAGATATCCAACACAATACAAGGTCACCTTCTGCTTTCAACGCGGGAGACCGCCGTCTAAACTCGAACAAAGCTTGGTCGCATCACTCACGACTACTTTGTGGAAAAAAGATTCAGTTATACCTCTTCATGGCTTTCATCTGGCGGGTTCAATATGATTTGTGGGAAGGTGTTTGCTCAGGCACAAAGTCGACGAAGGAGTAACAGCGAATAACTCCCACAAAATTAAGTGGAATTTTTGACAAATAATCTTTTATATCAGTAAGTCGATGAGAGACCTCTATGCATGATACGCCCAAACAAATCGAGCTGGCAACAATGGACACTGCCTTACAAGGATAAAACACAGGAAAATAACAAGAATATAATCTTTAATGCACCCAAAGTTCATGATATTTTAGTCGCAGTAGATTCTACTCTCTCGTCCTTTGGATCAGCTATCGAATACTTAGAAGTAATTATTCGAACATATGTCCGCAAATAACATTAGCAGGTCTAACCTATCATTCTAGTAAACTGGACCGCTCGTTTATCTGGTACCAGCTGTCAACTAGTATGGTTCTTGTGAGGGACTGAAATTCTTGTCAGGTTTATTACTTTATTATTTTCGAGGAAAGAAGAGTGAATACTTGTCACTGACATCCTCCACGAACCTGTGGAAAGACATTGCCTCGTAAGTGCGATTAAGTCACAGAGGTAGGTTCATTTAAATTTGATAACTTACCTTCTTGAATTGGATAGCCCATATACCATGCTACAAGTCTTGTAAATTGTTGTATTATCCAAGTAACTTACCATGGTACATGCTTTAGGTCACGTCATAGCAGATGCACGTGACTGTGGAACTAAACCGTGTTGTTTTTATTTATTTTTATTTATTACTTTCTGGTCCTAAGCTAGAGCTATATTTTTCACATTGGGTCAAGGACCGGTGGAGCCGGCAAGGATCACTGCGTGAAGGCCCAACTCATTCCAACCGAATGAACTTCTACTGCAATTGTAGAAGTTATCAGCAAAACTCAAATCAAAAACTGAAATCAAATTTGGAAGAAATACTGTTTGGTCCGGATCCCGCGCTTCTCGTCCGTTCCCTTTCCTGCCTCATCTTCCACGTGACTTTTCTTATCTCCGCTGAGAGCGAAAGATTAGTTCGCAGATAACCTGAATTCAGCTGGTATCCTGCTATATATTTTGAAGCTTTTTGGAGACTTCACCGAGGGTTGCTGTACCCTCAAACTTCTTCTTCGGATTCCAAAATTCCGAAACCCGATCCCTCGGCCATCGTTGCCTCTTCGGCCCTTTTGGCTGCAGCCCTAAATCGAGCCACTTTCGCGAACTCCCCTTGTTGGATCTGGCGGATCCACGCGAGCTGCTTTTTGTCACCGGTACGGACTTGCTGGGTCTGGCTAAGCAGACCCGAGAATCCGATCGGTGAGGTCCCCCACAGTTTCGACACCGGGTAAGGGCCTTGCACTCTGATTCTGAGTGCATATTAGATCCGCAATTCCAGCAAGCTGGAGCGCGGGAACAACCACGGGTGGCGTGAAATTCAAGACACCGTTTGCATTTTTCGATTTTGCGACGAGGTCGGAAGAGCTTTGCAGCTCCAGAGTCGTCGAAAAGGCGGAATCCGGGTCGAGGAGCGGATTCTCGGGGAAATAGCGCTTGCCAATTTGAGTAGGGCGCCCCTGGTTTGCTAGTCCCATGAAGACGAACCAGAAAGGGAACCAACTGGGTCACTCGCGTGACTTAGTCAGCAACCATCTTTGCTGTCACGGCGATGGGGCCAGCAAGTGTTCGAATTGTCTCCGGAACGATGGCAATTTGCATGGCAACCAGATTTGATGCTGGTTCCAGGTGTATTTCTGGATCTCTCCGCAGTGCGGAGGAATCCAAGAGCTCCTTTCGAGAAGCTTCGTTCTTTGCTGTAATAGCAAAGCCAGTCTTTACCCGCTGAACCAACGTAATATCATTAGCAGCAGTTCCCAGCGCCAGAGACACAGCTGATCTAATGCCAGCTGGGGAGAGGAGACGGTGGGGGTGGAAGTAGTTGAGGCGCAGAAAAAGTCGTGAATCGACTTTTGTCCTCGGGTTGGCACTCTTTGCTTTGGGGGCGGGCGGTGCTGCCTTTTTTGTCGACTGCCCAGCGCTGCGGTCTAGGCCTCCCCAAGCTACGGTAGCCCAAGTTGTCTTCGGGGCCGGAGCCTGGGTTGTTGGAGGGTTAGGAACCCTTATTTCTGGTGCCCTTGGCGAAAGAGGGTTGGCGGGGCGAGCAGGGAGAACTGGTGGTGTGCTCCCTGGGCCAGATTGTACGAACTGGCCGATGGCTGCTCGAAGATAGACTTTGATTCCGTCTACAAATTCCTTATTATCGCCAATCGAAAGAGGCGAAAGTGCTGCTTCGACACTGCTGATTACAGTCGAGCAGATTCCGAGTCGGGCGTTTATTTGCGTCGTGCGACGCTTCTCGGCCTCCATTACTGATTGCAGCTCTGGTGGAAATTCCATTGCTGATGTCGATGCTGCGCCTTTAGAGGCTGGCACAGCATTGTTTCCTGTAGATGATTCTGCACGTTCGGTTATCTTTTCTCGAACAACTTCCTTTCCTTTCCTGGAGCTGCTTGCCACTGGGGCCAGCTCGACGGGGGTTTTGGTCTTCGGACCATTGTTTTCTGCTCTAATCGGTTCAGAATCAGTCATCTCTTGATCGGGAAGATTTGTGGACTTTCCTGGGACAAAGGCCTCACTCGCAAATAGGCTTGATAATTTTTGCGCGAGGCCAGTAGGTTTTGGACACAATGGTGTCCATTCAAAGCCGACTGAAGTTGTCGGCTTTGGGCGATTTTTTCTCACCGGAGGCATTTTAAATACCTCGTGACGGTTAACAATTCGAGAAGTCAAGCACAGAAGTGATCATAGGAATGGAAAATGGGAAAAATGGAAATTTCGAATTTCTCGAATTGTGCGTTTTGTTTGTTTGTTCATAAACGTGCTAGGTGAAGTAACTACCGTCGCACTCCTACTGGAGCTTGAGCACGAGTGGGGTCGGGCCGGATCAGGTTAACCATCGTGCAGTACAAGTGCCTCATCGCACCTAAATGACCGGAACCATGCCGAAACGCATCTATGTG